AACAACTTTCCTTAAGTGCAGCTCGGAACCTGCCACTACTTCTAGTCTGACGCCACCTTGGTGTTTCATCGACCTCCATCTTGGTTTATGCCGCACACAATCTTGTTTTTATCCGACGCCACTTTAATTTTGTTGCGTCGCCATGTTGGTTTTCAATCATTGCAGTAAATTTTAAGAAACCGAACCCCTCTGGCTCCTTTCTTTTCTCACCTCGGAGTCGCTCTTGCGGACTTTGGACTTGCCTCGTCGATCTTGTCGATGGCCTGGTAGATCTTCTTGCAGAGTTCCTGTTGGTACACAAAACCACATTTTTTTCTGATTGTTTGTGAAGATGAAGGTTTTGGATGGGAATAGGTTATCTTCAAAGACTTCAGGAAACAAGCTAAACGCTTCTGCCATTGTTTATGCAATTTGATCTTCAATTATACAGCTACACAAATCTCACATATCTCGGTTTAAAGAATATTAATCAGATCGTGGAAAAACACAATGAATATTTAATTGGGGCTTTGAATCAACGAGAGAAGAATAAGATAAGATTAAGATCAGCTTGACTGCCTGAATGCATTTATGTATGTATTTATGTAAGTATGTGTGTATGTTTCAACAACATATGCATGAAACAAAGTTTTGATTTCTCCAAAAAAATAATATAAGGTCATGAGGAAATGGCAGAAAGCGGGTCCCCGGGAAACTGACAATTGGGAAACACTGATCAAATTGATATCCCTAGTTAACGCATCATATTAATAAGATAAAACAAAAATAACATTGTTATTTAAACGGCGCTATGTTTTGGACTGGTTACATGTAAAGTTTTTATTAAACAAAAAACCAAATAGACACATGATCCTTCCAACAGTGAGCGGGAGCCAAGCTAGCTGTTTGCCCCGCTTCCACTCTTTATGTTTATCACATAGTGGTAACGACCTTCTGGAACTGGAAATGAAAAAGTAATAAAATCATGAATCCTCATAATTAGCTTTGCTTCTAAAGTACACTATAGAAAAGGATCCTAATTTTACGGGAAATAACTTTTTTATTTTTACTGTACTTTTTCTGTTTTTTCAAATGATGTGCAAAACTCTGTAAAAATAAAGATATTATCTGTAAATGAATACTCCAACTGTTAATTGAACTATTATGCTAATAATGACAAATAACATTTTTATCACCTTTTTTTACAGAAGAATTACTGTCATTATTCTGGAGTATTTTACTGTTTTTTAAAATTAGATTCAAATCATGTAAAAAAAACAGTCAAACAACTGGCAGCTGCGGCTGCCAAACAAAAACCGTCAAATTAAGGTTGCACTTGAAACACTTTGAAAACACATAGATCTCAATGTGAAAAATAATTTGTAATATCTATACTGATGTGGACAGTTTAATGTCTTTTGATGGAAATAAAAGTTTCATCAGAGGGCTTGATTTTATAGACACCCCAAAAATCCAAGTGAATGAAATTATTTGGCAGGCTAGTCCATTTTGCCAAATTTCAATTTTCTCTGTATCTTGTGTGGCCCCCACGTCCTTGTATGCAATCTTGACAACATTGCGGCATGCTCCTAATGAGACAACGGATGGTGTCTTGTGGGATGTCCTCCCCGATTTGTCTAAGGGCATCATAGAGCTCCTGTAAAGTCTGAGGAGCAACTTGGCGGTGTCTGATTGAAACATAATGTCGTGCATCCGTGTAGGGTCTGACCATGCGTTCAAAAGATTTCATCCCGATACTTAATGGCAATGTGTTTGTGTGAGTCTATAGGTATTAATACAACTTCACCATATATTTAGGGCCCTCACAACGACTAGTCGTAGAGGAACCTATTGTATTTCAAGGGATAATTAAAGCTGCGAGCAGCGTTGGACGGGTCCTCGCAACTCCGCATGTCGGGACACCGGCAGGACGGCTAGATACGCAGCCAAGAACCCCTGCGGCTGTCGGACAAAAAGTCAGAGAGTCAGTCATCGTTAATCGCGTTGAGCGACCCGAGATGTCATAGATTACCAAATTTGACTTTGCCGATGCACCACCTCGCCACCGATTATCGGATTCTTATAATATTCACAGTGAAACCATATTAAGGTCTTAACTTTCTGCTATTTTGAGAGGGATCAGATTAACCTTTGAGGAGTATAACCTGTGAGGAGCAGGGTGTAAAATTAAAAAAAATCAACTTCCTGTTTTTCCCAGGTGGCGCTATGACTAAGGTTAAAAATGATCATATGGATGTCTACAGGGTGAGACGTTCATGGTATATGAGAAATATGGAGCAGATTAGATAAAGTATGGTCGAGTTAAAATAACTTAAATTTTCATGCCAAATGGTGGTTTTTCAAAAATGCTCCCTACATATATAGTTTAGAATTTCTTCCTGCAAAATGCTATTTTTTAGCCTAGGTTCTCAGAATCACACTGCGCGAATTTGAAAAGAATCTGGTTTATTCCTTAGGAGGAGTTCGGTCTTTTAAAACTCACGAAATCACGAAAATAGGCCAAAAAGGTAGATTTTCAACGATTAATTGCAGTGCCCCCTATTCTTCAAATATTCTCAAAAGATTAGTTTGGTGAGGGCAGGCCAAACCATTTGGAAGTTCCGAGTCTTGCCAGATTAAGCGCACAAGCCTACATTTTAATCAACAATTAATTGCAGCGCTCCCTATTCTTCAAATATTCCGAAGAATATAGGGTGTTTTCAGGGGTTCAATGAGCAGACGTGTTACAAGTTTGGTGAGGGCAGGCCAAACCATTTGGAAGTTACGAGTCTTACCAGAAATGGAGCAAGAGACTACATTTTAATCAACAATTAATTGCAGCGCCCCTTATTCTTCAAATATTCTGAAAGAATTAGGGTGTGTTCAGGGGTCCAATGTTGGTGAGGGCAGGCCAAACCATTTGGAAGTTACGAGTCTTGCCAGATTAAGCAACACCCCTTGCCAAGTTCAGTAGCCTATAACTTCTCAAAACAATGAGATATCAACACGGTCCTAATGGAGGACCGAGGGCATTTACCCAATAAGGATCCACAGGAAAATTTGTGACAATCGGACATAGCGTTTAGGAGAAATGTTAAAAAACGAGTTTTCACAAAATTCTAAATGGCGGAAAATCTAGTTAGGTGCATTTGCATAACCTGATTGACTTTCTTGTAGAGCATGTCCAAGAGCACATGTGTGCCACATTTCAAGTCAATCGGGCATCGGGGGGAAAAACTGGCCTAGTGTGGTACTTTTCAACTTTCTAAGGGGCACTATGGAGACTTTTCTTAGTCTATTCTCTTAATCAGATAATAGTACACGATTCCCGATCTGTGACAGTTTGAGACTATTTTGAGGCAATTCTGACCAACGGTGCGGGAGGAGATGCGTGCCAAACTTTTGTACGGAAGAGAATAAGGCGAAAAATAATAACTAGAAAATGCATTTCCTGCTGAAAATGCGTTGGAATGCAAAATGCTGAAAGCTGAAATGAACTTCAGAAAGTAGCTGAAAATACAGAAAGTTGAAGAGAATTTTAATACATTTGCTGAAATGACAGATATTAGAAAAGCTGAAATTAATTTGAAATTGCTGAAAATACAGAAATGCGAGCAGCTGAAATTTCAATAGATTTCCTCAAAAAGCAGAAAAGAAAACAGCTGAAATGAATGTGAAATATTGCATAAAAAATACAGAAATGAATATTAAAACATTGCTGTTAATACAGGCATAAGAAAAGCTGAAATTATTTTAAAGAAGTGGGGAAGCTGAATTTCAATAGATTATCTAAAAAACTACACAAGTTGCAGGAGCTTAAATGAATTTTAAAAAGTACAGAAATAACAAAAGCTGAGATGACTAAAAAGAGGTTTAAAATTGTTTGTAGTAATATTAGTAGCAGTAGTAGTTATAGTTGTAATTGTGGTATTAGTAGTACTAGCAGTAGAAGCAGTAATAGTAGGTTTAGTATCAATAGCAGTAGAACCAGCTGTAATACTAATACTATTAGCCATAGTAGTATTTGTAATAACATTAGTAGTAGTTGTAGTATTAATAGCAGTAGAAATACTAGTAGTATGGTAGTAGAAGTATCAGTTGTAGTACTACTAGAAGTACTAGTAACATGCTTAGTGGTTGTAGTAGTATTTGAAAGAGCAATACGTATTTCAACGAAACCGCTCCATGGTTAAGGTACAGATATACAGGTATCATTGAGGCTTTTGTTTTGTAATGATGGAATTGGGTGAGGGGGGGTTGGGAGACAGAATGTTTCTTATTCAAACTAAAAAGTTTTTAATTAATAGGCCTCATCACAAACATTACAGTAAAAATTCCCTCCATGGGGCTTTTATTTTGTAATTATTGGACTGGGTGGGGTGGGGGGGGGTGTAGATAGAGGGAGGGTGAGAGGGTGAGGAAGGGAGGGGTGGTGAGGAAGAGATAGAGGGAGAGAGAGAGGAGGAGAAATAGACAGACAGACTGACTGAGTGAATGATTAACAGTGAATATAACAGATTGAAAAGCCAGTTTTGATTTGAACCTCACTATCAAAAAAAAAAATCTGTTATTGTAGCAGCATACTACAGCAATGAACATCATGTTGCAGCTGCTTTGCAGCATATTATCCCACAGGAAAGGTTTTTAATCTGAACCAACAAATGTGTCTAACTGTGTTTTTTTTAAACAGAACATCAACTTTCTTTGAAAGTGTTACAACAGGCAGAGTGATGGACAGAGGGACTCACTCACTGAATGACTTCCACTCACCCATCGCTTTTTTGTAGTGAGGGGTCAAATCATCAATTCGAATCTTGAAGTACCTCTGTCTGCAGTACTGAGAGTAGTGTAGAAATGCACTTGGTGTAGGTCATGTGCAGGACATAGTAATATGCCATGATATAGAGAAGTCCCTCATTAAGTCTGTCCACGGGGACGGTGGTCACAGATGTTTTTCCGATTGCGATCATGTAGTTGTCCTTAGAAACTATCAGAACCGGAGAAGACAGGGGTCGCTGCTGCATGAAACCATTAGGATCCTCAGAAGTCTAGATGACACAAATAAATCAAGAAGATTAGAAAAAACATTGCAAGTAACATAAACTTAATACCTGAACTAGGACATTAGTGAAATCATTTTGTACATTAAAACACAGTCACCCCTCAGCATTAAGCCCACTGCAAATGCTGAATGCACGGCTAGTTCCATCGAAGTTAGTACTACATTAAGTATACTATGGAAAACACTTCCCCTTTGGAGCTTTTGAAATGATAAAAGTTTATCTCAAAGTAACTAAACCTACGTAATAAAAGATGTATGCCTGAACCACTAACATATATTATGAAATGTTTCAGTAAGTCTGTAAATCTCACCGCTAAGACATGGAAAAGAGCCTCGCTGCTTGAGCCCAGTTTCTTCGGTGGCAAAGTGCTGGACGGAAAGAGCAGTGGAAGGGCTCTGAAGACAGCTGTGATATGCTCCACTGGTTTAATGGAAAAGGGACAATACAAGGTGGTACCATAAATAACTTTAAGATGACAAATAATTATGAGACATTATTATATAAAATGAAGTCAATGTATTGTGACTTCACCTCCATTCAAAGTTTTAGGAGTCTTCATGGCCTTCATCACTCCATAAAACTGGACCTTTGAATAGAAGGTTTTCCATCTGTTCTGCATCTCTGATACGTACTGGGAGTTGGTCGGTTGGATAATTCGCTGCAGCTCATCCAGCACCTGGAAAATAGATTCAGATAAAGAAAAAAAACATTCTGATGACTTATTCTTCTTAAACCCCCCCCCCTGTCCATGATGTCAACTGAACAAGCTGAAGACATTGCAGGAACGTTATGGTGGAAAGCGGACATGAGATTTCCAAAGTAACAAGTAAAACTGATAAATTATATGTAATACTATACATACATTCTTCATCACTGCTGTTCCGGTTCTGCGCTGGGGTGCTGGTTCTAAATTACATATCTACTGGGATGCCCATGGGACTAACAGGTGAGCGTTCCAGAATAATGGTGGATGTACTGGAATCTCCATCATAGTCAGTTGCAACGTCTGAACTGACTTCTTGTCGTGGTTTCTTGGAAGGAGGACCTTTGGCCTTCTTTGGACTTCTGACATTTGAGAGTCTCTTCATGAGCTTTTTGGCAACATGCTCCTGCGAGACATACATAGTCAACATATTTTTTTTGTTTTTTACAATATTCTAATTATAGCTTTCGGCAATGTCTTGCTCCATTTGAACTTTCTGTCACGATTTAGCACTGTATGAACAGAAATCTCAGTATTAACATCACGACCAGCAACAAGCAAAAGTGACAAAATCTACTCACCCACTCATTGTTTGATGACCTGTCTTTTATCATTGGATAGTAGTCCACCAGTCGCTTTGCCATGGCATTCACCTCATGTTTGGTGGGGTATCTGGAGTCGTCTGTGGCTCTTGCGATGGAGATCATGTTAGTCATAGTGTTTCTTATAAGTCGGCAGAAGAGCTCCTTGGATAGGGTCACATTGCGCTCGGTCCCCAGTCGTTTCTGTTCAAAGTAGGAGCGTCGCACCTGTTCAAGCTCACTGTCGGTGAAGACTATGTATTCTGGGTTTGACATAGTCACAAATTTAGAAGTATTGGCCTCCTCTTTTGAAAAGTCACTGCTTCCAATCGGGGGTGATTGCTGAATTTCGGGAGCAGTATCCACCTAAAACACATTTACACAAACATTTATTGAGTAACTTTGTCATAGTTCATACTTGTTAGTTTAAGCATTTACATTTTGGGGATTACAAAAAAGCACTTTTATTTTATATCTACTGTTGAAATGAACTCAAAGCAGAAATGTCTAAACCAATGACATATTTATGTATATGAACCAGATTTCAACTGTGATATTGGAAAAATGTTGTACTGTTAAACAGTTCTGTTGTACTGTGAAAGACAAACCTGACCTTTTCATCTTTATTTACAACAAGCCATATAGCCCGACGCCTCAAGAAATTTTCAGGACCAGGAAGGAGGTCTTTGATGTCGTCTCGGGAAAAGGAGGGGAGTAAGTCTTCTCCAATATTAGCAACCGGAATATAGAACAGTTAAAGTCAGGGCCAAGAAGCAAAGGTTATCAATTAATTCCCTAATTTTAACATAGCAGGTGAGGACCTTTTGCCAACACCCCATGTACAATAAGCACTGTTTGGACATTTTACAAATGCTTCCCTTTTTTAATTCAAGAGCAGTGAGTGAATTTGACAGCATTTATGAATTACTGGTACATATATTGACACCATGCAAACTACAGTAAGTGTGACAATAGAGCCTTTCTAGATAAAATGCATTCACATGTCATGTCAGTTAATATATTTAAAGAATATATATAAAGCTTGATAGACAATTGACACCACAAATGGCACCTTGAAACAAATGCGTTAGCCTACAGATTAAACTCACGCGCCTTGTACTGATAGTGCCGGGGTCCTGGGCGCGCTAAAGAGCTGCAATGGCTACGGCTCATGCCTGGGCATGTGCACTGCTTAATCAATTAACCCTTAACGTTTTACAACCATGTTATTTCAGCATTTACAGCCCTTAATATTAACATAATGGACTGAAAGCTTAATTAGACTAAACCTATTTCTAGATGGGAATCATAATGCAACACCAGCCGTTTTTTTATGCAGATTAGCTGCTAAACTTTAGCCTATTAGCCGCAAATCCACGAATCGTTAAGATAGGTAAAGAACTCCAGTACAACATAAAAGTAACCCCTGTAGCATACCCTGAGTGTGGCAATTGCAACCTCGTCCAGTTTGTCCATCTGTTGACTCTGATATCCACAAACGACGTTTGAGAATAATCAATTCGCGCAGCAGCAGGTGACCTCGGGAGTAGCTACTGTGTAGGCCGAATTCAAATTGCAACGGACTCCAAGCGGAGAAAAAAAAAAATGCGCAAAAGGTTGGATTGTACCATCTTCCAAGAGGGGTGGGCACTCAGACTAAATAAGTTTATTTTGCATTTATACAAATTATATTCATCTAAATAAGATCATATTGATGATATAATGATAATGATATAAATAATGATTAAAATCGAGTCACACTCATGTGATAATCGATAAATGGCAAGTCGTTTCTGCTGTCATAAGACACTGAATTATGGTACGTACCTTTTCACGTGACGTAGCACCAGGTCCTGGTTCAGACGGTCAGACAGAGCAGGTGAAAACGTAGGTCGCACTCCAGCTAGCTAGTTAACCCAGGCTAAAAGCGGGGGAAATGATTTGGCGCTGTGTTATTTGCTTTGTGTTCGTGGCTCTCAATCTCAAATCTTTATTGAGTCATATTAATACTTCTCATAGTCGCAGTCCCGATTTTCGCGTTATTTGTGGAATTGATGGATGCACCAAAGAGTATCGAGTCTACAACTCACTATGGTATCACATTACAAGAAACCACTACGAACACCTTGAAAGTGGCAGCAGCAACTCACGGAGAGAGAGGTCAACAGCAAGCCCGGAAGCCTCTTCAGCGGTGAATGCGTGGACATACAGGCCAGCTGATGCGAGGGTGCAAATCAGAGAGCATCAAATGGATGGAGCAGTGGTAGGAAACAGGGTGCAAGATGTCATGCAAGATGTCAAGATGTCATGTCCTGCTGTAGACTCTTTTACATTACATTACATTACATGTCATTTAGCGGACGCTTTTATCCAAAGCGACATACAATAAGTGCATTCAACCATAGGGTACAAACTCAGGAGAACAAGAAACAAGAAAGTGCAATTTACAATTTGCTATAGATGAGTGACGTTACAAGTACAATTTAAGTGCTACAATTTGTTAGTCTGAAGAGGTGTGTCTTTAGTTTGCGGCGGAAGATGTGAAGGCTCTCTGTGGTCCTGGTGTCTTCAGAGAGCGCATTCCACCATTTCGGCGCAAGGACAACAAAGAGTCGTGATCTAGTCGAGTGTTTTGCTCTCAGTGAGGGAGGGACGAGTAGTTTTGCAGATGCAGAGCGGAGAGTGCGGGTTGGGATGTAGGGTTTGACCATGTCCTGGATGTAAGCTGGACCCGATCCATTCACAGCATGGTACGTGAGCACCAATGTTTTGAACTGGATGCGGGCAGCCACCGGTAGCCAGTGAAGAGAGCGGAGGAGTGGAGTAGTGTGGGAGAATTTCGGAAGGTTGAAGACCAGTCGAGCCGCTGCATTCTGAATGAGCTGCAGAGGTCGAATGGCAGTGGCAGGGAGACCAGCCAGGAGGGAGTTGCAGTAGTCCAGGCGGGAGATGACAAGAGCCTGAATCAGTACCTGCGCTGCCTTCTGAGTGAGAAGGGGACGTATTCTCCTGATGTTGTAGAGCGTGTATCTACAGGATCGCGTTGTCGCGGTGATGTTGGGAGTCAGGGAGAGTTGGCTGTCGAGTGTGACGCCGAGGTTCCTAGCAGTTAAAGTGGGCGTTAGCACGGAGTTGCCAAAGTTGACCGCAAGGTCCTGGGTCGAAGAGTCTTTTCCTGGAAAGAGAGCTGTGGTAGGAGAAGCCATGCGAGCGAATGGCAGCGCCAAGAGAGTTGGTGTAAAGCGAGAAACGGAGGGGACTCAGCACGGAACCCTGAGGAACTCCAGTAGTAAGAGGACAAGGTTCCGACACAGATCCTCGCCAGGTTACCCGGTAGGTGCGGCCGTCGTGGTAGGACGAGAGAAGGGAGAGAGCAGAGCCTGTGACACCAAGTTCCTGAAGGGAGGAAATAAGGATCTGGTGGTTGACCGTGTCAAATGCAGCAGAGAGGTCCAGAAGGATGAGGACAGAGGAGAGAGAGGCGGCTCTAGCAGTGTGGAGTTGCTCTGAGACAGCAAGGAGAGCAGTCTCTGTGGAGTGGCCTGACTGGTGGAGGTCAAGGAGGTTGTTACAGTGGAGATAAGAGGAGAGTTGATTAAAGATAGCACGTTCAAGGGTTTTGGACAAAAAGGGAAGAAGAGAGACCGGTCTGTAGTTGTTTTCTTCAGAAGGGTTGAGGGTAGGTTTCTTCAGGAGGGGGTTGACTCTTGCCTCCTTCAGAGAAATGGGAAAACAGCCAGATAACAGAGCGTTGTTGATGAGACAAGTGAGGAACGGAAGAAAGTCAGGTGCGATAGATTGTAGAAGATGTGATGGAATGGGGTCAAGAGGGCAGGTGGTCGGACGGGCAGAGGTTACTAGGGTAAGAATTTGGTTAGGAGAGAAGGCGGTGAAAGAGAGAAGTGAGGGCGAAAGAGGTGAGGTCGGTGGGACGCGAGAAGTAGGGAGTGGGTTTGAGAAGGAGGAGCGTATGTCAGATATTTTCTTGGTGAAGTAGGTGACAAAGTCTCCCGGAAGAAGGGTGGAGGGGGGAGGAGGGGCAGGCGGTTCGAGGAGATTGGAGAAGATCGAGAAGAGTTTTTTGGGGTTAGAAAATGAAGATTCAATTTTGGATTGGTAGAAAGAGCTTTTGGCAGCAGAGATAGAAACAGAGAGGAGAGATTGAAATTTAAGCAGGTCGTCAGGTCGTTTATATTTACGCCATCTCCTTTCCGATGCTCGCATGGTGGCTCTCATGGCACGCACCGGTTGAGACAGCCACGGAGCCGGAATGGGATTTGCCAATCC